TTTATCGTGGAATGCAATGCATCAGGTTCAGGCATTGGATCCGTTTTGATGCAAGAGAGGCTGATCGCTTTTTACAACCATGATTGCTCTCTACGTATGAGAAGGACAACTTAGCGCTTGTTCTTGCAGTGCAAAAATGGCAGCCCTATCTCTTGGGAAGGCAATATGTGGTACGTACAGATCAACAGAGTCTCAGGCGTTTTTGAGCCCAGAAGATCACAACTATCGCACAACAAAGGTGGCTCTACAAGTTGATGGGATTTAACTTTGTCATTGAATACAAAAGGGAACAGAGAATATTGTAGTTGATGCCCTCTCAAAAAGAGAAGAAAAGGGAGAGCAACAAGGAGAAATTGTAGCCATCTCTCAACTTAAACCAAATTGGGTGGAGGCAATCAACGAGACTCAAATTGACCCAACTTTAAAAAGGTTGGTATAGCTGGTCAAAGATGGGGAAGTTTTGGGCCCATGGAGAATTCAAGATGGAATTTTGTTTTCTAAAGAGCGAATTTACTTGGCTTAAGATTCTTCTCTTGTTGATGGTATAATCAGCTAGTTCCACGGCAACACTCATGAAGGCTTCCTAAAATCTCTCCACCGGATCCGATCCAACTCTTATTGGAAGGGCATGAGACAGAAAATCAAGAGGTACATTCCAGCTGGCGATATTTGCCAACGTCACAAGGTGGAACATCTTGCCCCAGCCAGTCTTCTACAACAATTGCTCGTGCCAAGCTAGGTATGGGAAGATAGTGCGATGGATTTTATTGATGGATTGCCTATTTCAAAGGGAAAATCCACGATATTTGTTGTAGTTGATCGATTATCAAAATACGTATACTTCACTGGCATCTCTCATCCATATACGGCCTTGGGAGTTGCTCAAGTCTTTTTCGATCAGATCTTTCGGTTGCATGGAATGCCTAAATCCATTGTGTGTGATAGGGACCCGGCATTTACAAGCATGTTTTGGCAAGAGTTGCTCAGAATAAATGGCACCAATTTTAATTTCAGCTCAGATTATCATCCCCAAACGGACGGTCAAAGGGAAGTGGTAAATCGAACTGTGGAGATGTACCTTCGTTGTTTTACACGTTCTTATCCCAAGAACTGGGCCTAGTGGTTAAAATGGGCCGAATTTTGTTATAGTACTAGTTGGCATTCATCAATTGGGAAGACACCCTTTGAAGTGGTGTATGGATGGGCCCCACCTACTCTCTTAGCTTATGTACCTGAAATGGCTAAGGTACATTTGAGCAAGAGTTATTGGAGAGGGATGAGATTATCAAAGACGTCAGGGAGAAAATCAAGGAGGCTCAAGCAAGGATGAAACGTATCTACAATTCTAAGCATACAAAGAGAGAGTTTTCGGTTGGGGATCGGGTATATTTGAAGTTGCAGTTGTATAGGTAAGCTTTGATGTTTATGAGGAAAAATTTGAAACTCTCTCCCAAGTATTATGGCATGTTTAAGGTTCTACAACGAATTGGAGCTGTAACTTACAAGTGAGAGTTGCCGACTAATTCTAAAATTCATCCAGTCTTTCACGTCTCTGTCCTCAAGAAGATTGGAGCCAAGGTTATAGTTCAATCTCAATTACCATCGGTGAGAGAAGAAGATGAGAAGATAACTCCAAACCCTCAAGCCATCTTGGAACGCCGGTTGCGAAAGAGGGAGCAAGAGGTTCTAATCCATTGGCAAGGGCTCTCACCGATGGAAGCCAGGTGGGAGAATCTTGAGTTTATTGAGAAACAATTTCCAGATTTTTGCCCTTGAGGGCAAGGGTGAAATTAAAGAAGGGAGGAAATGTACGGTGCATGAGATTGTTTCACTCATGACACGTTAGAGTAGGAGAATAAGTCCCCATCATCCTTTGATTATTGTTGAGTTTGTTAGCTTTTTACGTGGGTTGTTATTTTGGTTTAGAACTCCTATTTTGTTGGTGTTTGTCCTATTCATTAAGAAGTTAACGTTGTAATGTGTCTCTATTTAAGAGATGAATGAATAAAGAAGGGATCATCTGATTGTTATCCCTACACTATCATGTAAACCTTTGGAGGTATCGGGTTCCCTCGAAGCAACCCAACAGTATTTGTTTTCCTTCTTTTCACTCTATATCTTCTTCAATATCCAAGATAAGTAACAGAAAAATCACCAAGAGTAACCAAGCCGTACCAGAAGGCACTTAAAAAGGATCAACCCACTGTGCATTACCATCAAAATAATGCTTCTTGTCAGCACCACTGGACTCCAAGCTAAATCATCTAAGAATTGCTTTGGTTGATAAGAACCTTAAGGATTAAGCAATTACAACTCATCTTTCTTAAATGTTTTCATAATAGTTGTTGGAAGTAGAAGCGGGTGCATGAATGGTTTTGGAAATGAAAAGCGGGGATTTGTGAGAGGCTGGAAGATACTTATGTTAGGGAATACCATTCGTACAATGCATATCTTATGGATCAAGATCCCAAGCCTTTGGGGATCGAGATCTTAAACTTTTTGGAAATGCGCATCCAACCATTTGGACTATGAAAGAAATTATTGAGGAATGGGTTCTATATGGGAAAAGCCTTGAGGTTCCAGATTATCCTTAATCAAGAATCCCTTAATATTGGAATTGACGCATTGAGTGCCCTTAGCAAAGGTTCCGCTTGTATTGGAATCGAGGCCCTACTATCCTAAACAATGGTTCCCCTGGTATTAGAATCGACATATTAAGTGCCTTAAATCAAGATTTCCTCTAGTATTGAAATCAAGGTCCTCGAGTAGCCTCAACCAAGGTTCCCTAATTATTAGAAGCGAGGTTAACTAGAGCTCCCAAACACACCATACTCCTTTGTTAAATAAAAAAAGTACAATTATTTGATTAATTCATAATAAATTTTAAACGTACCACATTCATTTTGCATTTGGCTTTTATTAGGAATACAAAATTAGGGTTAAGTAGAGTATCTATGAGCCCATCTTTATTCATTGAATAAAGATAGAACAATTTTTATATTATTAAATAATTTTAAGAATCAAATATTTCAAATAATTTTTTAAAAAAACTCCAAGCATTCCATAATATTGATGCAATCATTCTATAAACCCTTTTAAGTGACAATCATTCCATAACTCTAGATATTTGGATTTGAATCTCAAATCCATATTATCAAAAATTCGATCCAAGGAATCACAACTTGGTGCACCTATGAACCCAGAGATTTGATGGCTATGGAATCTAGATTCAAAACAACTCCAGATTAGGATTCCTAAAAAATAGAAAGCGAGAATCCTAAATTTTAAAAAACGAGATTCCATGAAGTATGGCGTCGACCCAATACAACACCTGTTAGGAGGTGCGAGTTAGTTCAAGTGGAAGGATTGAAAAGGGGAAGGGGTAGGCCCAAAAGAACGTGGTTGGAAGTAATCCGAAAAGATATGGGGACTTATGGCCTCACTGAGGGTATGGCTTTAAATAGAGTAGAATGGCGACGGACCATGATTCGTGTGGCCGACCTCAATTAATTGAGAAAAGACTATGATGATGATGATGAGATTCCATGAAGATCCCTTGTGCAGAGTGTGCAGAGATTCTAGAGCGAATCGGCACTTGAGATGGAAGATTCCAATAACTATGGTTTCATACCTTTCAAATTTCTTAATGTAAAGAAGTCTAAAGTCATCGTACAAATTATGCAAAGCACTAAAGCAATTTTCTTGTCAAAAGGGCTATTGGTGAACTACATTACATCAGAACATACTGAAATGCATCTTCTCATATTTCATTACCATGTAAATATGTTTTGATTAGCTCCCATCATTGCTCCACAGCAGCTTTGCACCAAGACATCAACACAAAGACAAGATATTGTAAAAGTTTTGAAAGCTTATAATACATATAGACACCAAACTTCAAGGATAATTTCCAACAAACTGAACTGCAAGACCCTTTGGCCAAATGCCTAAAAGAGCACATGAAACCAAGCAATTTCATTGGTTACCCAAATCAAGATACCCAAAACCAAGAAAACACCAAAAAGATGTTTATGTTGTGATGCACAAATGATTAATCAAGAAAAAGTAATAGCAAGAGAAACATAGTTTGAAACCAGGTCTTCTTGGAACATGAGAGAGATCCGAATTTTTCCAACTAAATCCACCACAGAAGCACAGACTACTAAGTAACTTTCTCATTGCAACCAACCAAATGCACCAACAAATCATAAGAAACATGAAAATCAACTTGCCACACAATAATATGCTGCAACAACTAAATAAATCATCATCCATAAATGTTAAAGACAAAGGCTGGTTGATTATGGTATCATGCTGCGTTTATTTATAGACCTCCAAAGGAATGTCCCCGTCAATTCTCAAAAGTATGGTTAAGAAAAGAGAGATTAAACCCAAAATCCAAATTGGTACCAAAGCAGTATGACTCCATACAGAGACATCAGTCCAATATTCCAAATACAACAGCACAAGAAAAAAGAAAATCATGAGTCTGCCTTTGTCCTTCAAATTATCTCCATTCCACTTAACAAATTTCTGTGCAACAGATACATTCATTTCAGATATTAAATTTCAAGAAGAGCCTCACCATTTTGACTATTTTCATTAAGAAACATTAAAGGGAAAATGCCAGCCTCCCAGTTTTACAAAGAGCATAAGCGAGAGAGAGAGCCATAACACAATCTAAAGGTTTTAAAAACCCAAGAAAAGCCATCCATTTACAGTACCACAGACCTAAAACAACAAATAAAAAAACACCACCACGTGTTGATTTCTACGACATCAACACAAAATCGTATCACTCGAAACAAAACACAGCTCAAAACCTTAAACCCTAAGACCATTAACATCAAAGATCTAAACGTCCCCAAACCTACATAGATCATCATAAATCACAAAACAAAACAGAAAGAGATAAAGAAATACAAAGGAGAGATGTATAGAAATAGACAGAGAGGAGAGAGGTGGACCAATGATCAAGTTTCAGAGGTTTCAGAGGCAACCTCGGAGGGTTGCTCAGTGAGCGAATTGGGGGTGGCGGTTGCTGCGGCTGCATGCTTTTTTACGGCGTCCAGCATTCTCTTGCTGATCTCCTTCGAATATGCCTGCAGTGTGGCGGTACCGTCATTCTCAGCTACATCTTCATTGGAAGAAGCAGAGAAGAAGGCGGAGGCGAGCTTGAAGGCCTCTTCCTCAATGGCGGCTGCCGTGGCCTTGGCCTCTTCTGCATCCATGACACCATAGCGCTGCGAGAGGACCGATGGCGTCGAGAGGGTCTCAGCAAGCCTCTGCGTGACTGAGCTTCGCGTCCGCTCGGAGGGCGGCCACACGCTGAACGATGCCGCCGTTGGAGGCAAGACGACGCTGGAAGCCTTTGTCTCCTCTGCCATGTTCCCTCTCTCTCTCCCTCTCCCTCTCTTACTTAAGCCAGCACGGGGTTCGTGCGCGTGGGCGCGGTGTGTTTGGGTTTCTTTACTCTCTCTCCACAGTCGGAGTGAAATCCTGGAGCGAGGGGAAGGGCCTATGCGGCACCTGGGCTTCTCCGACTTTTCTTTTGCCAAAGGAACCTATGCTCCCGCGGGTGCATATATACATTTGCTCTTATGAGAAAATGACCTCTTATCCCGAACTTCCATTCCTATAACCTTTTTCGGTCGCCAAAATGCCATGTAACTCTTCAAGTTTAAAACTTGAGGACCATTCGCCCCTTTATTATGCTTTTTTGTATTATTTTTTATAAATTTAATCATGGCACACCCATACATTAATAATTCATATTTTTAATTTTTTGTGACTTGACATACAAATTTTATTGATGATGATGATAATAATAACAATAGCAATTATAATTAATTTTAATAATAATAATGATAACAACAACAATATATGTAAGGTTATGTATAGTGCTTACACAATAGAGTAATTTATCATTGTACGCAACAAACTTTGGATATTTTTATACTCTAGTTTTATATATGGAATATTTTTTTAAGGAGAGTATTTTTTATCATTAGGAAGGATGTGACCTCATCTATATAGGGTATAACATCACCTACATAGCGGGCACTACTGACATTTAATGCTCCATGTGGATGATATCACACCCCATATATATGACGTCACACGTCTCGTAATGACCAAAAATACACTTACTTAAAAAAATTCCATACACAAAACAAAGGTATAGAAGTATCCAAAATTGTTGAATACAATGATAAATTACTCCACAGTGTGAGCACCCTAACATAACTCATATATTAATTATTAAATAATTCATCTCTTATAGGTATTTTTAGATTTTTTAATTAAATGAATAAATAATAATAATTCATTAACAATAGTAATAAACAAAAGATATTGATGCAATTATAAAATAGGTCATAATATTAATCAAAATCATTTTCCTTTCATGTCTAAATTTATAGAGTGGGGTTTACGGAGGTAGGATTGGTTTTAAGCAACGAAAGAGAAAGGAAAGGAAAATGACTAATATAAGGGTTTCGCATTTTGTAAAATAAAAATATCTAAGTTATAAAAAAAATAAAGAAAAGTATAATAGGCTAACGATCACAAAATTTTAAACTTGAGGGGTTACAATAGATTTTGGTGAACCCAAGGGATTAATGGGGATAGAAATTTCAGGGAGGGGGTAAAGGTCATTTCCCCAAAATTTTTAGAGAATTCTAAGGCAAATTTGATTGTGTGGAAATTATAGAAACCTGCAATTATTTTTTGGTACAATATTTTCCTCCTTTTATGTGTATCCATATTAGGAAGGTGGTTCATTACATATGCTACTTTTTTTAATAGTGCACAGCTTTATAACCATATAAATTATGGTTCTGTCCACATCTTTGATAAGCCCTGTAATAAATTTTATATGGGGGCTTAAGGCCCAAATATGCAGAAATACAGTTTCTCACGCTTCCCATAAAGAGAAATATAGTTTCTCACCTGGTATCAGAGCCATCAACCCATCTATCTGTTGTGTTTGTTGATATACGCTTCATAGTTGTTTTGAAAATTTCAGTATCTTTGTCATTCCATAGATATCGTCGCTATAAAATCTACCCCGTTTTTCTAAAGCCTCTTCCTCTATTCCATGTTGGTTTCTCTCTCTTAGTTCCATCCCGTCAAAATTTGCTTCCAACCTTGCTCTAGAAGCAATAGCTACAACAGGAGATAGAGAGAGAAAAATAGATGGTTCTTGTTGGATGAGAGAGAAAGTGTCTTAAATTTTGGACGGTTCTCGTTGAATGAGAGAGAAAGCGTCCCAAACTTTCCTTCTTTCACTAAATTTCTTTGCTTCTTGCTTTGCAAATTTGCTTCCAAGCAATTGAGTTTCATTTTTTACAAAATTTGCTTTTGATGGTGCAAGTCTCCTTTTACAATCTTTGGTCCAACAAGTTTCATTTTGCAAATTTGCTTCTAACCGTCTTGGACCACATCAACTCCATGCCCCTAGTGCAAGTGTAATACATGTGATCCTATTCCATATCTGATTTTATTTATAGCATGTATATTTGTTGTCACATGCTTAGATTTTTAGAACCGGTGCCTGTGTCGGACACCATGGGACCTAGAACCTTGACTTTTCAGAATTTCATGATCTGGATCTAAACTTTGTATCATTGTTGGGGGTGGGGGGGGGAAGTCGTAAGCTTTCTGACGGTACATGGCATGTCCGTTTCTAATCTACTGTCAAGAAGTTGCAGTCTGGGTCTGTCAGCAAGCACAAACCCGGTGTGCCTAGACTCCGGACCTTGACAGACGTGCATGGATCCCGAGGTACACACTTTCCTAGACGTGCACACACTTCTAAACACATGCTTATTGTCATGATTAGTACATGCACCCCATTTCCCATGCTTATTGTCATGATTACTACATGCAAAAAAATTAGTTTAAAAATACCTAATGATTACTATGCAACCTCATAATTACTCTTATGCCATGTATGTGTAATATGCATGCATGCATACTATAGTTATATACACTAATCATGAACAAGCTATGCATATATGTACATCGTGCACACTTATACATACATCATGATACATGACTTGACTCACATGCATCAAACATGCCCATACCCCATACATTTATATTAGGATTATGACACATACCCATGGCACATGCCATACTTAAACCTCTTCACCTCTAACGCTCTCAAATTTGCTTCCCAACCCTCATACCCCTCACCTTGAGCCCTCTTACCCTCCCATCATGAGCTCCCTCACCTCTCACCCTCATCACCTCTCATCGGTTGAAGCCCATTTTGCAAGGATTCAAGACCCAAGCCTTAGCCTTGCCACCTTGTGGATCTAAACTGTGAGAAGAATCTTGCATTTTTTTATTTCATGCAAACTAACATGTTTAGAATGATAGAATATTTTATGTAATTAGTATAAAAAATAGGATCCTGTTTATATTGGCCCATGTAGTAAATTTAGGGTAAAATCCATGACTCAAGTAATTGAAATTGCATAAGTTTGGGGTACTGAAAATTGAGGATTTTTTGGTTTGTTTTTTTTTTTTTAATATAATGCATGTTGGGGTAGTCATGTTGAGTTGTGTGGTTATTGGGTTAGTTAGCGTACTTTTCACATGCTATATGAAGGGTTGTTGTGTGTGTGTGATGGAAATTTACATAATTCTTTAGGGTTTAAAATGAATTACTAGATCATTTTTTACCTTGTTTGAGAACATGATTATTGATGATAGCCTGCACATTTGAATGCCCTTTAGCCCGAAATAAGTCTCATGACCATGCCTTAAAGGTTTTAGGAGTCATCTACCATTTATTAGAACATGATAGATCTGAGAATTAGAATTTCTAGGGAAATTGCATATTTTGGAGTGGGGCTTTTGACTTACCAAACTTTACTAAAATGAAATAAAACCATTTTTTAATGCTAGATAAGTTATTCAAGTTTAAAATTTGTTTTAAATCTTCATGATTTAAAATTTTGGTCATTTTTCTAGTAGGGGCTCACCTTGTATTTTCTGCTGTGCAGGACAGAAATTTCATTGGGGAAAAATCAAATAGTTTGATAAACTTTAGACCAATATTTTGGGTTATTTCCTATAAGAAAGTTGTCTTTTTATGTGTGTAGATTATCAAGAGATTGGTTGCAGGTTTAAATGATCTTTAAATTTAATGATATGCCCTTAAAGGTGGACAATGTTCATCTTGAAAAACCAAAAATTGATATGGTGATGTCTATTACATTGATATAAGCATGATAATATAACATGGTGATGTTTCTTGTGATGTGATATGTGATTGCTTGTCATGCTTTGAGCGTATTGCATGGCTATGATTGGCACCAATGAGGTGCGTATGATGTGATATGTGATTTCTTGGCATACTTTGAGCGTATTACATAGCCTAACTTGTTATCAAGTTGTGCCAGCAATTGTGATATCCTCAACTCTCAATGATAGGATGGGAGTAGGGGCAGGAGTTGTTTGGGTGGTCGTTCCCCCGTTCATAGTGATTAGCACCCAAACAGTGCAAACTCCTAGCCAAATGGGCATAGGGAGCAGTGCCTTACAAGGCCAGTACCTATCAAAGGCCCCAAAGTGTGCTACGAACCATGTGCGTGAGTGAGGTACCATACCTCAAATGGAAGCGAGTTGCACTTCTCCTGTGGGATGAGGTAGAAAATCTAACCTTAGACCCGAGGTTAGTGCTTCTACAGCAAGACTTCTTTTGTGTGATTGCTTGATGATGAGGTATTTGCTATATTTTATGCTGGAATGCTTTAGTCGATCTTTGTGCCTGAATGTCTTGATCTATAGTTGATTTATATATCACGACTTATGCTATAAATTCTGTCACGACCCCACCCCCTACTAGACCTGTACGGCCCACAAAGGCCAACAACGAGCCCACAGGGTGTGGGATCGAACACGGCGGGCAAAACAAAGCCGGTATCAAACAAGTACTCAGCAACTCGAAAAAGAATTCCAATAACCACCCATCAAGGCTTGTCAGACTTCTGCTGAGGAGACTCTGGCCCAGTACCAAAGTCTCATGAGGGGTTATGAAGAAGAGAATATCATCCTCCATTCCAAACAGGCTCGTCTCAAGAAAGAAGACAAATTGTACTCTACATAAATCGCAGCCTTGGAAGAAGAAAAGGCCATATTGGATTCCGATATCCATAAGATAAAGACCCAGCAAGAGCGGGAGACAGCACAGATACAAAGACAGTCCCAAGAGTTGGAGACCTTGGAATCCAAGGTAGCTGCGACCAAAACCATGTTGAGCCAAGTAACTCAGACAATCTCCCTTCTAAAAGAGCAGATGGAGAAGGACTTGGAATCATTGGCAGCACTAAAGACCAAGACTCATGAGGCCCTCGAAACTTCTAGGGGTCTAGGGATTCTTTACTCTTTTCTGCCTTTTCTTCCTTCTTTTCATTCTTTTTGTAGACACCTGATGATTGTTACCACAAAGTTTTTGTAACCATTGAATCACACATGGAATGAATTTTTTCTTCTTTTCTCATCCTTGGTTGTTATGC